GGGAAAGATAAAGCATTGTGTAAAGTGAGAAAATGGAATAGGCTATGAAACAATACATGTATAATAATTTCATTAAAAATACTTTATGTAAGCTTTTATATGTAGACAGGAAAGTCAGAAGGCTGCACTTAGACTTACATATAAGTAGGTTTACTTCCCATTAGTTTCTGCTGGGACCTGGACTGGGGTCAAGGAGGGTGGGCAACAATTACCTTTGATTTGTTAGACTTTTGTCACCTTTGCATCTTTTACATCACATTTATATTAAATTTGTAATGTTTTAAAAAATAAAATACAGTTGAGAAAAACAAGTTGCAAAATATATCTACTGATGCAAATTTTTAAAGAAATATAAAGGATACATATACAAAAGCTATCTGGAGATCACAGTAATGACCAGGCCTTAACCAGATTGATCCCACCCTAGGAGAAGCAGAGGTTGGAGAAAGGCCCCGGCACTCCAGACTGATGACCCTCTCCACCCTCCAGCTGCTCACCTGGGACTGCTATGGGATGGAGAAACCTGAAGCCCTGCATCCAGGTTCCTTCAGCACCTTAGCCTTTATCTCCTCTAATACAAGTGCATGCCAAGTGGTTACAAGTAGCTCTCTAAAGTACGGCATCATTGGGGAAATCTCTTTCTATGCCGAAAGCCTGTGCTGCTTTTAGGGGGAAAGCCACCAAAGACAAATGGGGTCAGGGAAAGCGGCTGGCCCACCTTGAGGGAGCGGTTGTGGCGCTGCAGCTCTCGGCACAGGCTCTCGAGCTTGCTGCGGGCCAGGACAGCCTTGCTGTGCTCACCACGCAGGTGGTCCTTCTCCTGCACCAGCTGGCTCTGCTTCTTCTGCAGGAGCTTCATCTGCTTCTGGGAGTTCCGGTGCTCCTCCAGCTGGGGATGGGGACGGGGAAGGCAGGTAAGAGCCCCGTGGGGACCCAGGGTCTCCTGAGCTGACCCGACTCTAGCCACCACAGCTCAGGTCAGACACTATGAGGGTGCTTCACACACTGCCCCCAACAACCCCAAGGGCCCCAGCTCAAGGATACAGAAATGGACGCTAAGGACAAGCAGAGGTGCACAGCCAGCAGATGCCAGTTTCTCTCTGAGCTTTGCATGCAGATTCAAAGCTCGCAAGACTCTCAGACCATGACATTCTCCCAACTCTCGGGACACCCATGCCCTCAGATGAGCCCACCTGCTACCCACCTCCTTATATTCAGCAACAGACCCTGGTTCACCATTTCTCTCCTCAACATGATTCCTAGAGTCAAGGTGGCCTTTTCATTATCAACAGATAATCCTTCTGGCTCCCTGGCTTCACAGACCCTCACCTCTTCCTCAGACCCTGTCCTCTCCCAGCTCAGGTCCCCTCCCATGAGCCTATTCAGCACTGTGCAGGAGAAATACAGTGCGACTCAGAGTAATTAAAAATGTGCTGACCTCCCAGGGCAGGGAGGGTACGAGGAGAAGGGGGGGAACTGACCAGCTCAGCATACTTCTTGCACAGGGCCGCGAGCTTTTCCTCTGGGGTACTCAGCGTGTTCAACGTCTGCATCAGTAATGTGATCTCCTTTCCTGCAAAGCACAGGGAGCAGAGGCATGTACCCCCTTCTCTGGGAGCCCCCCTTCAGGTCTGGGTCCACTCTTCTGCCTTAAGGTAGCCCTCCCCTATTCTCCAGCACCCATCACAGAGGACATGCTCAATAAATACTAATTAAATGAATGACCGAGTCTGTCAAATCCCCGTGGTGAGCACGAGTGGGAGAAAGAAAACTGCCTACTCTACCTACAGGTGAAAGAAAGGTGTCCCACCTGCGAAGTCAGTGCTGTTTCAATGCAAGGAAGGCCCTTCTGAAAGAGGAAGGATGCAAAAGGAACAGGTCTCCTTAAGAACACTGCACTCCAGTCAACAGAGGCAGACAAGAGTGCACTTTAAAATGACTATCCTCCCCAATTAATAAATATAGCTTTCAATATTTGATCCTAAGATTAAAATAACTTAAAAAAAAAAACCCTTTAAATTAGGACAACAGGTGGGGGGTGGTGGGGGAGTAGCGACTAAGACATGGGTGTAATACCACCTTTGATTCTCTGACACACACTAACCCTCCATCCCCACCCAAGTGACTCCCCCATGCCTGTGCCTGAGTCAAAGAGAGGGCCACCGTACACAGCACTGTGCCAGGCTCCTGAAGTGTCAACCCCGGGAGGCTCTGAGGGATCATCAATGCAGAGAATGCAAATCATCGGCACACAGGCCAAAACAAATCCAACCCACAGATGGGTTCTGTTTGGCTCCTATCTTATTAGTTGCCAACTATTAAAATCTAGAGATTTCACATAGTAACTCTAGATTTCTGGCTTTAAAAAAAAAAAAAAAAAGCCAGCTACAGTTTTTACATGCTATCAACTCACTGGGACCAGGTGGCAGTCAAGCTTTTGGATAAAGGAGGCATTCTCTTGGTCTCATGGGGCCCTCTGGCTAGCTTGGCTTATTTGAATTTTCAACCCTGGTCTAGTCCAATTCTCTTACTGTGCAGAGGAGTGAAAATTAAGGACCAGAGAGGAGAAACGTCTTGCCCAAGGTCACATAGCAAATTAGAAATGGTGCTGGCCGGCACAGGACTGCCTACTCAGGAGTCCTGCTTTCCATCTCTCAAAGAGAGCAGGTTGGACTTCGGTTCCTGCTTGCTCCCAAGGCCAGAAGCCCTTGTGCAGTGAACCTGTACACCTCTATCTATGGCATCACTGTCCCGGCTTTGATTAAACGACGTAGTTTGACAGTTCTGGAAGTAGGGTTTCCTCTGAATCCTGGCACAGCAGGTTAGCCCAGGATGTCAGGTCCAAACTCCCTCCCGTCACCAGCCTCACAAGTAGCTGCCCTCTGCTCACCCAGACCCTTGGCTTTCTTCTTCTCCTGTGGCCTTCGGTGGTCTCGGTCTACGACCTCGTCACTTGCCCGGTTCTCGTCTGTGCCCGGCTCCCCCTTGGAAGTCTCTTTCTCACCATTGACTACTGGGGTCTCTGGCTCAGGCTCCCCATTCCTCGAGGCATAGGTCCTGGACTTCTCTGCATCTTCGGGTTCAGCA